AGTAGAAACTTAATTTTATTAAACCTCTATCCTTAGACACACCTCTTTTTAATACTCTATTAATGGTTAGTTTAGTCCTGGTTCTAAAACATATCCAAGTGGGATGGTTGACTCCTGTGCTGTTCTTTGAGCTGTGCACTGAACTAGCCACTTGTAATGGAACACCACTGTTAACTTGAAAGAATGACAGACTACGGTTATTCAGGACACATTTCCTCTAAAATAAATGAAACAAGTTGTCACTTAGGGAAACAACTGAAAACATCTGTTGCCTATGATAAAATTTCACCTTTCAATTCAAAAGAAAATTAAAATTTTCTTTTGAATTGAAAAATACTTTTCCATCATCTTGAGCTTTGACAGCTTCCCAATACTACAGATTTTTTTATACGAGACCAGATGATATTAAGAAATTTTAATCAATGTATAATAATGTCAACATTCTACAAATTTCTTAAAGTTATACGATTTGGAAACTGGAAATCAATGACAAAATAAAAAACAAAAATTACTCCAACACCTGGAGACTAAACAATATGCTACAGAAGAAATCAAGGAGGAGATTAAAAAATTTTTAGAGGTAAATGAGAACATAGAAACAACATATTGAAATCTCTGGGACATTATGAAAGCAGTATAAAGAGGAAAGTTTATTGCATGGAGTTCATTCCTTAAAAGAAGAAAAAGGCAACAAATAAATGACCTCACATTACATCTCAAAGCCCTAGAAAAAGAACAACAAATAAACAGCAAAAGAAGTATAAGGCAAGAAATAATTAAAATTAGAGCTGAAATCAATAAAATCAAAACAAAAGAAACAACAGAAAAAATTGACAAAATAAAAAGTTAGTTCTTTGAAAAAATAAATAAAATTGACAGACCTTTAGCTATGCTAATGAAGAGGAGAGAAAATTCAAATCACCAGCATTCATGATGAAAAAAAGTAATATCACAGACACTACAGAAATACAGAGAATTTAGAAATTATTTTGAAAACTTTTACTCCAATAAAATAGAAGACATTGAAGGCTTCAACAAATGTCTTAAGTCATATGATTTGCCCAGATTGTACCAGGAAGATATACACAATTTACACAGACCAATATCAAGTGATGAAATAGAAGACGCCATCAGAAGCCTACCAATCAAGAAAAGCCCAGGACCTGATGGATACACAGCCGAGTTCTACAAGACCTTTAAAGAAGAACTAATACCAATACTCTTCAATTTATTTCAGGAAATAGAAAAAAGAGGCAGCACTTCCAAACTCATTCTATGAGGCCAATATTACCCTGATTCCAAAACCAGGCAAAGACACATCAAAAAAGGAAACTTTAGACCAACATCTCTAGTGAACATAGATGCAAAAATTCTCAATTTTTTTGATTCTCTGGCAAATCAAATACAAAACATATCAAAAAAATAATGCACCACAACCAAGTGAGATTCATCCCAGGGATGCAAGGTTGGTTCAACATACGGAAATCAATAAATGTAATTCATCACATCAATAGACTCAAAGATAAGAATCATATGATCATCAATAGATGCAGAAAAAGCATTTTACAAAATACAGTACCCCTTCATGTTCAAAACACTAGAAAAACTAAGGATAACAGGAACATATCTCAACATCATAAAGGCTATCAATGCTAAGCACCAGGCCAACATCATTCTAAATGGAGAAAAATTGAAGGCATTCCCTCTAAAAACTGGACAGGGATGCCCTCTTTCACCACTTCTATTTAACATAATTCTTAAAATACTGGCCAGAGCTATTAGATAGACTAAAGAAATTAAAGAGATACGTATAGAAAAAGAAGGACTTAAATTAGCATTATTTGCTGACGATATGATTCTATACCTAGAATACCCAAAAAGCGCCACCAGAAAACTTCTGGAACTAGTAAATGAATTCAGCAAAGTAGCAGGATATAAAATCAACATCCATAAATCAGAGGCATTTCTGTATATCAGTGACAAATACTCTGAGAGGGAAATGAGGAAAACTACCCCATTTACAATAGCCTCAAAAAAATAAAATACTTGGGAATTAAGTTAACGAGAGAGGTGAAAGATCTATACAATGAAGACTACAGAACCCTAAAGAAAGAAATCAAAGAAGACCTTAGAATATTGAAAGATCTACCTTGTTCTTGGATAGGCAGAATTAATATTATCAAAATGGCCTTACTACCAAAAGCATTATACAGATTTAATGCAATTCTGATGAAAATCCCAATGACATTCCTCATAGAAATAGAAAAAACAATCATGAAATTCATCTGGAAAAATAAGAGATCCAGAATAGTTAAAGCAATCCTTAGCAGGAAGAGTGAAGCAGGTGGCATCACTATACCAGAACTTAAACTATACTACAGAGCAACAGTAACAAAAACAGCATGGTATTGGCGCCAAAACAGACTGGTAGATCAATGGTACAGAGTAGAGGACACAGACACTAACCCACAAAATTACAATTATCTTATATTAGACAAAGGTGCCAAAAACATGCACTAGAGAAAATATAGCCTCTTCAACAAATGGTGCTGGGAAAACTGGAAATCCATATGCAACAAAATGAAATTAAACCCCTCTCACCATGCACAAAACTCAACTCAAAGTGGATCAAGGACCTAGGAATTAAACGGGAGACTCTGTGTCTAATAGAAGAAAAAGTAAGTCCTAATCTTCATCATGTGGGATTAGACCCCAACTTCCTTAATAAAACCCCTATAGCACAAGAATTAAAATCAAGAATCAATAAATGGGATGGATTCAAACTAAAAAGTTTCTTCTCAGCAAAATAAACAATTCGTGAGGTGAATAGAGAGTCTATATCTTGGGAGCAAATCTTTACCCCTCACACATCAGAGCACTAATCTCTAGGATATATAAAGAACTCAAAAAGTTAAGCACCAAAAAAACAAATAACCCAATCAATAAATGGGCCAAGGACCTGAACAGATACTTCTCAGAAGAGGATATACAATCAGCAAATATATGAAAAATGTTCATCATCTCTAGCAATTAGAGAAATGCAAATCAAAACTACTCTAAAATATCATCTCACTCCAATCAGAATGGCAGCTATTATGAAGACAAACATTAATAAGTGCTGGTGAGGGTGTGCGGGAAAGGGCACACTCATACATTGCTGGTGAGACTGCAAATTGGTGCAGCCCATATGGAAAGCAGTATGGAGATTCCTTAGAAAATTGGGAATAGAACCATCATTTGACCCAGCTATCCCTCTCCTCGGTCTCTATTCAAGGAATTAAAAATAGCATGCTACAGGGACACAGCCACATCAATGTTTATAGCAGCACAATTCACAATAGCTAAACTGTAGAACCAACCTAGATGCCCTTCAGTAGATGAACGGATTAAAAAAAATGTGGCATATATACACAATGGAATATTACTCAGCAATAAAAGAGAATAAAATCATAGCATTTGCAGGTAAATGGAAGGCGTTGGAGAAGATAATGCTAAGTGAAGTTAGACAATCCCCAAAAAATAAAATGCCGAATGTTTTCTCTGATATAAGGAGGCTGATTCATAGTGGGGTAGGAAGGGGGAGCATGGGAGGAATAGATGAACTCTAGATAAGGCAGAGGAGTGGGAGGGGCAGGGGACTAGCAAGGCTGGTAGAATGTGATGGTCATCATTATCCAAAGTACATGTATGAAGACATGAATTGGTGTGAACATACTTTGCATACAACCAGGGATATGAAAAATTGTGTTGTATATGAATTGTAATATGAATTCAATGTTGTAATATGAATTGTACTGCTTTCCACTGTCATTTATTTTTAAAAAATCAATTTAAAATGTCAATATTCAGAAGAACTGCATAATTCAGTAAGCCAGCATTTTCCAAATGACCAACTCAAGGTATTATAAAACTATGCACAGTTATCCAATCCAAATGCAAGATAGACCCAATGGATTTTAATGTAACAGGGGACAAAAAGACCTTTGATTTAGCTTTCAGATTTCACTAATTTTGAATAGACTACCAATTGTCAATTTTTGATAGCCACAATTACCTGCAGTTACTAAAACACTCTTTTCCAACACCCTGTGAGGCCAGATTTCTTCAAATAGTTCAACAAATGTGCCACACTGCTACAGACTGAATGTAAAAGCAAGTATGAGAATCCAGCCTACCATAAAAGGTTTAGAAAAATGAAAACCGGTGGCACATTGTACCCTAAATTTTTTAGACTTGTTAGACTATTTTTTCATAAAACAATGTTATCTATGCTAATATGTAGTGTTGTTATTATATTGGATTTCTAATATAGTAAATATCAACAGATAAAATCCAAAAAGCAAAACTTCTTGGGGACATCCAATTTTTACGAGGATAAATGGGTCCTGAGTCTAATGTTTGAGAAGAGACAGACAAGAGAATTTAGTTTCATGAACACTAAACATGGGTTTTTCTTTTGCTAAGTCATAAGTTACTGGTATGTAAAGGGCCAATGGCCTCCTCACCAAGTACTATAAAAATGATTTTGGAGTGAAGAAAGGATGTTGTCCTATATAGTTTAATTCCCCTGTGGAGTTAGAATTCATCTACATGGTTTTGTATGGAAATTTTCACAATATGCTAACTAAATAACATTCAAAACTGCCCTTTTTATTTTTGAAAATCACACCAAATAGTAATATATCACACATTTTTTTTTTAAAATCAATTCTTTATTTAGGTAACAAGTTGGTTATGTTCACTGCATTGTATGAAACGTCACAATATCATACTGGAAAGGTACTATCAGTACAGGGTTGGATCAGAGTAGACTGAACAATAAACCATTTTGCATTCTTCATTCCCTATCTTTTAACAACCCCCCAAACCCAGTAAAGGGACAAAGAGCTTTTAACACCATCATGTAAAGCACTTTAACTTACAAGGCTAATATCTAAAGAATAAATAAAATATATTGTGGCAGTAATTCCTTTTAGACCAAAAATCAGGTGCACAATAACTCAAGTGATCAGGAAAGCTGTCTGTATTCAAATGTGTGTGGCTCTCCAAAAACAGCTTCAGGAAAATGTTACAGAAAATACCATGAATTCCATTTCACACAGGACCAGATGATGACTCATTTTAACTACACACAAGGGCAATTACAACCTGCTGAAACACAATTTAAACATATAGAAAAATGTTTACAAAGCATCCACAACATGTAAACCATGTACACATGGATACATTCATTACTTCTCCTACCCCAGTAACTTCTTTTAGATAAATACTTTACTCTTCATGTTCAGCATTAATTAGATTTAATACATGCAAAACTCAAAGAATTCAAGGTTATTGTAAAAATAGAATTAAACTAATCTTCAAGTACCTTGTGATAGCCACTCTGTACCGTGCCCAATGTTATAAAATGAAAGGTTACTGAACCCATGAAAATATCTCTGTAATATTTCCTTAGATCTAAAATAGATAATTTTAAATGTATTTATAGTAATTTCAATGTGATATTCTGAGCTTTTAAAATAACATAAACAGTTAAAAATTATACCAAATTACACAAAACTTGAATCTTAAAAGCTGAAAAAATTAAAACTATAGAAACCCACATGTAAAACAAAAATCACAATTTACATTATAAAGGCAAATCTCATCATTTAAAAGAATTTGCAGCAGTGAGATGTCAAAGCAAATTATAAATAGCCATAAATTAATCCATTTGGTTTCAAAAGATTTTCTAGTAAAGAGCTGAAGTAGGTAGTAGGATACATGCATAAAATTTGTAAGGGTTTATAATATTATTGCCAAATATACTTTATCTTGAAGCAAGGCAACATTAGAATTTGGACATTATTGGAGAATCCAGTTTGGTAATACAGGTAAAATTGGAAAAAATTAAATAACAATTAATAATAAATACATATCCTATAGTAAATTACTCAAATAAAATTCCAAGCCATAGAACTCCAAAAAGGCTTTCCAACTTGGTTAACTAAAAAAGGAACATCTCATACAATTCTTTACTCTTACATGCTTGTATGTTGTGTGTTTTGTTTAAAATAAAACATAATGTATCTTCTGAGTACAGCTAACTATATTCTCATGCACCTCAGGCACATTTGTTTGCTGTGGTAAAATAATTCCATTGGTTTCTAGGGCCAAAAGTTCAATACAGATGTGACCAGTATGCCCGAGGCTGGCAAAAAATACTGTAGTACAGGCAATGCTACGAGTGGCAAATATCAGAAAACACAAATAAGAACAAATGATGGGAAATGCTTATGATTTTCTGCTCATATCACAAAACGTTGGGAATCCACAAGAATATTTTCCCCTTGTATTGAAGAAAATTGTGATTAAAATGTTTTTTTCCCCCAATTTTCAGAATCAAAAGCATTTTAGAAGGTTTATAAGGCTACCATGAGTCTTCTAGATCTCCAGCACCCTACAGGAAGAGAAAAGGAAGAATATTATTATTTACCTATACCAACTTCCAGGTTGGGTTGAATTTCAAAAGAAAACAAAATTAGATGAACAAATTACCTTCCTTTCTTTGTCTGAAAAGGTACTTATACAGAAAGATGTGTGTATTGTATAATGTGTACATACACATGTATCTATCTATTATAGATAGATAACTGGTTGGGTTTTTTTCTCCCCTCTCCACCAAATGCCTTCCTCTTTCTCAAAACACTTAAAATATTCTGGCATTGGAAAAATAGATCAAAACATCAGCTACAACATCTGAAGATTCCAAAGTTTCAAATTATACTACCTTTAGTAACTTTAAAGACATGATATAAAATATGAACAGGAAGAAGAAAAGTTAATGTTCTATAGTCAAAATTTCCCCATGTAACTAATAGCTATCTGTAATTTAAAAACCTGTTTTAACAAAAACAAAACACATATTTTTAAAACAGCCCACAATTCTTGCATTTATTAATATCTGATGCATACTTGGTAATAAAACTGACCATGTTCCTAATGTGACAATGTTTTCACATGTCTACATGTGTTCATGTTGTCATAGTTGAATATTTTGTACCCAAAAAGGGAATAATAAAATTGACTTATTTTGAGTAAGACTTATATATCTCATATTACAAATTTTTCTTTCTGATATGAAAAAACTAAGTCAAAAGTGTATTAAATTTAATATAAATACAAATGGATTTCTAATGAATAGTTTTCCAATATCCCAAACATGGTTGTTAAAAAAAATAATTAAAAAAATAAGTACAACATGCATAGATTATTCCACATCACATGCTTTATTTGGGCTTAAACACTTATAATTTTATTCTAAACACTTGGTTGACATACATTTTGATGTGTGTAGTTAGGCTATACAGAATATACAAACCAAAGCCGTTTGAATAATACATAGGTTTTTTCAAAACTTATGCTTCATAAAGAATACAGAGAAAGAAAAAATAACCACACATCCAGTATCTCACAACTTCTAAAAATAAAAACTACAGAGATATTAAATATAAACAAATCAAACAACACACAAATCATCAACCTTGAAAGAAAAATTACAGGCCAGCATCAGCCACTCTTTGAAGAACTAAAATTATTAAAGAAAACACAAATTACAAAGCTAACTGTGAGTGTACTAATATATAAAATAAGCAGTATAATTCTACATTAACAAGTTTTTCCATAACATACAGTAATCTCTCTAATCAGTCATTTCTAATCCTTTCAGGTATGAATTTTACTACTGGCTTTAATTAATGGTAGCCTACAGACAAGGTGACATATAATTTCATTGAATTCGAAATAACTATAAAAGTTCATTTTAAACTATTTCATCAAAGATGTATGCAAAGGCCTTTTTAAAAAACAAGGCTATTTGAATATAATAAACTAGTTTTCCAAGAATCAAATAACAAAATGGTTATATAAATGCACACATTATACTTCCTAAGTAAAAACCAAATCAAAGATCACAAAAATATTACCAAAAATGTCATATTTTTCCACCACTCATCTTTGTCCCTGCATCTTCATTACAGCTGTCTAATTCACCACTTTCTGATTCAGTATGGCTTTCCTGCATTGTCACTGGGTTTCCAGCATCACTGTTCGAAGAAGTAGCTGCAGCAGCTGGTTCAGCAGGGCTTTCTTCTCCCTCTACTTTAGCTAGCCTGTAACTAGTCAGCATCTCCTCCAGAAGTTGTCGGTAGTTTCCCCTATGATTAATTCTCATTTGCCTGAGAGCTTCCACCAATTTTCCCTGTGATCCACTTTCCTCTGCTTCATCGGAGGCCTTTTTTTAAGATTTAAGACCCCAGTGTCAGTAGACAAACTAGGATATCACATGTATTTCATAACATATTACACAAAATACTAATTTTTCTACCATGAGCAATATATTCTATGCATGAAAACAATTAAATAAATATCAATTCTTACCTGGGAAAATTAATAAAAACTTGTAAAAGCCCAAGTTATTTTTAGCAAATGACCATTAACTACCTTGTCTTATTTCAACTGCTATCTGAAATTTACTCTGCTTTTAGAATTCAACAGCAACACAAGCATTTCCTAAAAGCGACTTATTTGGGGAAAAAAAAATCATTGCTATATGATTTCATACAAAAGGAAATTAGTCTATAAAGCGAGGAGAAGGAGAGGAAAGCAGGACATGTTAGTTTCTTCATTTCTGCTAAATGATAGGTAGAAGAGAAGATACAAACTGCAAAACTACATAAATTTAAGTTGGAGTTTTGGAGAATTTTAAAGCTTTCTTGGAGAAAATTTTTATTTATTTTTGCCTTTTAATGCAGTATTTGAATAAAAAACATCTCTGGATAAAAGCACATAAATTATTTTAAATATTATAAGACATGGTTATAAATTACTTAATCTTTTCATATTTTGTTAAATTTTGGAAAGTCTACAGGTTTCTACAAAAATATATGCTTAATTTTGTTAGCAGAACAAACTTTATTCATCTAAGCTGATCATAATTAAGTTGATAAACTAAAATAAAGACAACTTTACATTATGTGCTTCCTGAGGTAAGGTATTATGAAATACAGAATCACATCCCACATTCTTGCCCAAAATGTTTAATATGGATCTAATAAAGTAATTTCCCCTTTATAGGAAATCAGGAAACAGAAGATCAGGTTAAAGGATACCATGGGAAAACAATCATACAAATCTAGAAAGTAGGCCATTCTATACAAAACTGGCTCACATTTTTTAAAGTCAGTGTAAGGACAAAAAGGGCAGGTGGGAGAGAAGGGGGTCTGGATTAAAATCTTGTTCAATGTGCTATACTGATGACCTAACCTGCTAGACCATGTTTCAAAATAAAGTCATTTTAAGAACAACTGGGGAAAATTACCTGACTTGTAAAATTTATTATTGAGTTTCCTAGATATAATTATGGCTATGTAGAAAAATGCCCTATTCTTAAAATCTGTATTCTGAAATGTTTACAAGTAAAATATTATGCTCTCTAGAATTTGCCTTCAGAGGGTTTAGCCAAAAAAAAAAAGATAAAAAATAATGTACATACCTGTACCTATGCAAAGAGATAAAGCAACTATGGCAAAATATGAGCAATTATTGAATTTTGGTAGAAGGCTTAGAGATGGGTCAATTTTTTAATATATTTGGAAGTTTTCATCATAAAATGTTGAGAAACTAAAAACAAACTCTTAACCATCCTTAGAAACTATTATTCTATGATTCTGCAAAAAGAGCAGTAATAAAAACACATAATAAATTGTAATGTTTAATAGAAAAAGGGGAGCATTTAATTTTTTAAAAATGTCTTATGGCAAAAAGTGAAAGACGATTCTGTATATAGCCTGTGTGTTTTGAGTATGTAGATGTATTTATTCATTTTAGGATATGTAAAATGCCTAGAAAAAAAAGAAATACACCCATGTAATGATAATGACTATGGCTAATGAGTTATAGATCCTTTATTTTCTTTCAATTTTCAAAATTTCTACAAGTATATTACCTGTCAAATTAACTTTAATTTTTGCAAAATTTATTATGTGCAGTGAACACAATGTGTGTTTATTGAAGCTTTTCTTATTTTTCTTTCCCTTACCTTTCCCCGTACAGTAAAATAATATGTTTCACTAAATAAAGTTTCTTATTTGAATTTATTCAGCAATGAAATAAGTGCATTCTAAACTGGGCGCAGTGGTGCAATGCCTATAATCCCCACAACTCAGGAAGCTGAGGCAGGAGGACTGCAAGTTCCAGGCCATTCTCAACAACTTTGGGAGACCCTGTCTCAAAATAAAAAATAAAATGGACTGGGATGTAGCTCACTGGTAAAGTGCCCCTAGACTCAATCCCCAGTTTAAAAAAAAAAAAAAAAGTACATTCTAACTAGAAACCAAGTCAGTCTTAATCAGGTCTTCCAAAAAAAGAAATGTTCTGCTTTATGGTATACTACAATGACTATAACATAGGGTCCAATTTGCCCTCCACCTTGATCAACAAACAGCTCCTTTTAGCTTTTTTAAAAAAATGTTGGACCTCAAAACAAAATCTGCTTCAAATGAGCAGTTAACTTACATGAAGAAATCAGTGTCAAGTTGGTTTCACATTAGAATCAATGTGTGAGTTTTTAAAAAAAACTATATAGATTCCAAAGTTCCAGTTCAAAATACATAGGTTAAGCAGATACGGGTTGTTTTTCAAAGCCTGAAAGAGTAAATATGATATGTAGCCATGGTTGATAATCACAGATATGGACTAAATCTACTTGGAGTTATAATTATTGATAAGGCCGGATTCAAAGATTGTCATATTTGAGTTCACTTTGGTGGGCTCAACAAATAAAGCACTTCTCTCATTCTCCAAGTGACACCTTCAACCATAAAACAATCATCTCTGTTTCTGTAAATTGCTATCATTAGTGGTAGTTAGGGAAGAAGAGAAGTTTCTTTTTAAAAATGGGCTGGGGGTGTAACTCTTGCCTAGCATGTGAGGCCCTGGGGTCAATCCCCAGTACTGCCAAAAAAAAAAAAAAAAAAGGGAAAAAAACTATTACATAACACTCTCATGGGCTTTCACTAATATCAGAAGGGGAACCTATTATCTAGGTTCTTGCACGTTCTTTACCTGAATTCATAAAGCTACACATCTATTTTTATACATTATAGCAATGAACTCTACACCTTGCAACTAACTGTTCACAAGTCTTCCTAACTAGATTATGAATTCTCCTGGATAATTTCTTATTTCTTTCTATATCCTCCCATCACCTATGGAAGGAAAATTAATGTTTGTGCTATGAACTTTATATTAATCCTTGCAGGTACTCTATAAATCAAGAACTGCAACCATCATTTTTTAAGTGAAGAAAGATTCAGAGAAATTCAACAGTTAATAAGTGGCAGAGCTCAGATTTGTGTGCCAGTTTAACTAACATTAATATGCACCTTAATGTTCCATTGA